GACACTAAGAGGCAAAATACTCAGTGAATAAAAACTCAGAAATCAGAAACATGTATCAGGAGCAGCTAAAGAGGCCCGACAAAGTAATTTTTTTAATAGCCTCTAGGGACAGTACTAAATTAAGAAAATGTATGGAATTGCAAATCTCCAGTTGCTCGCAATGAAAGCTTCAAAATGAGGATATTAAAAATCTAGAACTTACTGCCAAACTAGCAATACCATGGTGATCTACCAGATGTAACAGATGGGTTACACAATACCATCTGGAACACAGAATGTTCCTCTGGCTTTAATTACCGCGTGACATTCCTAACAATGAAAGCTAGTACTGTGTGCAACCATAATTCATCTAACCATGCATTTTCATAAGGGGACCCGAAAAAGCAAAGATCAGGGACCAGCTTGGAGTTGCAGGTGCCGAAGGTCACAATTCACCCAAACTCAGTGAAATGCCGAGTCAGGATCCTTCAGAGTAAGAGACTGAGGTTCAGCTGGTTGAGTCATCACCATCAAACAAAGGGTAGTCCAAGGGTCAAGGACACCTGCCTCCACAAAGAGTGCTCTAAAGGAAGAACAAGAACCAGGGAGAGGACAAGCAAAGGAAAACAATGATATGAGGGAAGTAAGGACAAAGTCAAAAGACCACATCAATGATCAAAATGGCCGTACCCTCAAATATTCAAGTTATGAAAAAACTATGATTATGACTTTAACCGGTGGGTGATTGTGGTCTCAGTGCCTAGCTGGAGAAATCTTTTCTTTAGACCCATCCGGGTCTACAGAGTCTCCCTGACTGCTGCTCATACATCCAATGCCATTGGCTTAACATTTTTCTGAACCACGCGGCACACTCCTGCCGTTGACGGTGTCTTTTAAGCCTTTTTTCAGAAGCCATCTGCCACGCTGTCAGCATTGTGCTCCTCTCTCTCCCCCTGGCCCTCCCTCTGACTTAGAGCACAGGTCTAATATTAGCACTGACTCAAACAGAGCAGTGCTCGGCCACTCGGCTTCAGGATTTGAAAAGCGATGAGTCGGGTCACAATGAACGAATACGCATCACTGAAACCACAAAGTGTTGTTGTAGGACTAACAGGTCCACCTGAGGACGGCCCCCTTTCTGCTGAGATCACGAGACCCATTCAGCATTGCGCTGGTCGGTGCGTAGCCTCTTTGTCCTACGTCAAAGCTCTCACCCTCTCTCTCTCTCTCTCCTTTGTCCAGCTGTTACCTGAGAATCAAACTGTCCTTCAGATAAAAAAGCAGTGCCGGTACATCCTTGAGCACCTCAACACACTGCTCTTAAGGTGAGCTCAAAGTGGCAGTGTTAAGACGAGGAGAGGGATGGTTTGGATGGCAAGATGTGGATGGCATGAAAGAAAGAAAACATTCAGTGACAACAAAGTTGATGTGTTATTTGGGCGTTAGTGGTGGAGAAACGTCTGTATTGACTGGTGCGCTGTAGCAAAGTGTTACGAACTTGTGCTGTTATACGGCTGAGTGCAGACTGCGATTTTCCCTCAGCTGATGCTATGACTGTTTGAAATAATGCCAATAATTGTACTATAGAGAGGAGTTTAACAACTGCTGGAATGGAATGTGAACGCTGAGTCGGAGATGCGACGTCATCTTTGGTTTCTTCCCGTGACTGTTGATGATTGCATGCTTCTTAATCTGTAACACGTAATGATTTTTTATGGCAAAAATCCTTTCATCCCGCTTCCTTGGCCGCATGTCGCCGTCTGGGTCGGATTACTGCTGCAATACTGATCAGCAGGCATATGCGAGGAGTTCTGGTTTACACCTGCTTGTAGGAGGTGGAGAATTTTCACTGCAAAACGCAGGCGCGCTTCCACGGGCGCACTTTACGTGTCCCCTTCCATCACTTTATGAGAAACTCCTACTTTACCCTGGACCCTCCCGCGAATGTATATGCATGACAGGCTTTTACCTCAGTGCGGCATGTTTGTACATACCTCGCTATGCTTTTGCCCCCACATTGCAAAAAAACAAAAACATAATCCACATCATTGAGTGTCTCCCTTCATTCTCATGCGCCGGACTGCATGGCGGTGTGAAGAAAGACGACAGTCATGTAAGACACGGGGTTGAGCTGGAGGCACATTAATTGTCCAAAAGGGGATTGAGCAGTCAACGAAATGGTCGGACCACCCACTATGGCTCCGTAATCCCAGAGAGTGGAGCCTCTGCACAGCCCGTGCTTTAGTCCACGATACCAGTGACCATAGCTAAGTAGGTCTGATATCAGAAGGAGGACCGGCGCAGACAGACTGAAATCACTTTCTATTCCTTCATACCTTGAGTACGTTCACTGAATGGATCTATGCTGAACAGTGTCAAACATTCGTCCCCTGTTTGATGTTATTCATTGACTTTCTGGAAAATGTTGGTTAGACAAGACCAGCATCATTAAAATGACCATAGTCACTATTTTCCTCCCTCCATTTTTCTCAGAATATTGCAGTCCACCTTTAAAGAAAGAGGTCAAGGTGGGATAAATAAACAAGATGCAATTCCTGAGCCTTGGCTCAACCCTAAGGCCAGACAAGAACATGGATTGCGATGAAGGAGAAGTGTTTGTATCAGAACATGGATTTCGGCCGACTACATGTTGAGCTGGCGAGAACTGTTACACTGACCCAAGAACGGCCCGGTGAAGAAGCACGATGTAACGGTGAGCGTAAAAAATAGAAGAGTCAGAACTCAATTGTATGCCGTGTCCCCAGACCACATCTAAAGGAAAAGGTGTGTAGAAGTGCTCTGGACATACTCAAAAGCATTAAAGAGAGGGTTCCGATAACGGGGTCTCGCCATAAAGATATTCACAGTGGGGCTCTCTTCCTTCAACGAGCCAGAGAGACTTGTAACGCTGAGTGTCAGATTGTCAAATCAAAAGCTGAAAAGTGCCAAAACATTTTCTGTTCATTATGGTAACGGGTCGGGCCTCGACAATTAAGGTAAAACCTGCCTCATTAGTACCAACCACAAGGTGTACTAAGCATTTAGTACCAAAAGTGTCCTGTACTCATACAACGTTTCATAATACCAATATACATTTTTGGTAAATAATAATTCAAAGCCATTTTTGGACTGTAAGGCACACTTCATGTATGACTGCTTGTACTTGGACCACATTTGAACTTCTCAAAGGCATCCAGAGGGGATTGTGTTGGTATTGTGTTGGTTGTTGTACCAGCTGAAGGTAGGCGTACCAAAATGACAAAGTATATTCAGCCACGGTGATGCGCTGGTTTCCTGTTCGAGTGATGAGCAGTAAATACAATAGAAAGAGTCTCGCTAAAGATGCCCACTGATTGAGTCACACCTAAGAAACTTTGAATACACATGCATGCAAGTGAACATGCATTTTGTCATCGGCCTTTTTTACTTCTATTTCCGTGCATGTAGGCTAAGTGGCAGACAAGAGCGGAAAAGGCCTACGGCGAGTTGAGCCGAGCCACGCAGAGGGCAGAAGTAATCGCAGCACAAATGAATTTGCCAAATAGGCGTTCTGATGCGGCCAAAGGCAGTTTTCTTCACAAGGGAATAACGCAGGATGATCTGTCTTCATACTGGAATAGTCTGTTAATGTGTTATGCATAATTAATGTGTATTTCCAAGGAAATGGATGTTTAACACACTGCTTCTATGAGCCGTGAATTTACAACGTCAACGACCTATTCATGTTGAATAACCGGGACTGAGCTTTTATTTCTGTTTTTTTAATGCAACACATTAAGCATGAATGTATATATATTTTTTAATACATGAAACAAGTTTATTTATTTGGACTCAACCAGGACATTTCTGGAATCACTATTCCTCAGCCAATCAAAGTTTGTTTATTCATTTTTACTGGCCACATCTGAGAGGATCGTCACCAGAGGCTTTTTAACAACATCTCCGTAGGGTCACAGGGGCCTGCAGCGCAGCATGGCGTGTAAACCAAAAAGACCTCTCGCATCGGGTGGGCACACACGTGAATAACGTGCCAGACATCTTTTAGAAGATGTGGGCTGCACCATTTCCGCCAGAACCGGTGCGCAGAGAACGGAGACTCAAACCCGTGACACAAAATGATGTGTGGGACAAATAGGTCTGCTTTCAGGGATGCCTGCATGGTGGGCCACAGCGAGCCAAGCTCAGCTCCATTTTAAAAGTTTACATTCCTCATTGGTTGTTAACAGAATCCTGTTCCCCAGAATCTCTCATTATTTATGGGTTCTAATCCTCACATAATTTACTTTCATCAATGAGACTTCTTTTATCTAACACACGTTTCTTTGACTTTGACCAAACACACATAAGAAAATCAAGAACGCATGTTTAGTGATATTGTAATTGATATAAGTTATATAATAACAGTACCTTGCTAATTCTAATCATGAAATATAATTGTCAATCCTTCAAACATTGCGATATTGCGTATGGGCTCCGGTAATCGTGATTGCGGATCATTCAGTCGCGTCAAAAAGAACTCATGCAAAACTTAATCGAAATAACTATTAATTTAAGGAAAACTTGATTGGCGCCAAAACCATATTTCACACGGATAAAGTAAAAACATTGTCATCCTCTATTGGACAGATCCTTCAATTCGGCCGACGGATAAGACCCATAGCAGCGGCAGCTCTATGGGTACAGCCGCTTTGAGTGCTCCATGATCCGCATCCTCCGGCCAAGTCTCCGCGCTGAGTAGCGGCGGCTCCCGTCAACCGGCCACCGAAGTTACGTTTCAATGAGCACAGCCGCTGTTATGTTTATTATAGTACACCTACTGGGTCAATCACTGAGCTCCATTCTTAAAGTAAAATACAGTTTGTGTCATGAGCCGCGTGCTCACGTTACAGCAAAGGTCCAATCGACACATTTTACAATGGAGTTTTGAATTGGTGAAAATACAATTAATCTCGCTGTACGTTATAACCATAAAAAAAAAGAAGAAAAACACATATGAAGGAGACACATCAACGGGGACTCACGGTGAGCGTCAAGGTCCGTCCAGGCTCAGAAGCCTCTCTGGGGCAGGTGATGCTGCTGCGTCCGAGCTCCGGAGGACACGACGGGGGGGTCTGCGTGGGTCTGCGTGGGGGGGTCTGCGGGGCTCTGCGTGGGGTATGCGGTGATCTGCGTGGATCTCCGTGCGGTCCGCGTATCTCTGCGCACTGAGGGAGCAACAATCGTTCCTCACGGAATCATTGGGCAACAGTCTCTCCCGGTTGCTCCAAAAGCGGCCTCTTCTCATTGGACGGCGGGGGAGAGGTGGGTGCAGACAGAACGAGGCCACATGGCGCATTACGCGGCAGACGCACGGATCGGACACGCTGGGGACGGCAGGCAGGTTTTACACGCCCGCTGTGTAGCGCGGTGAGTGGGACTCGTGCACTGTGTAGAAGGAGGTGGAACCCCAGGTTTTCAAAGCAGTGTTTGTAATTGTCTTAACATAATATATGATATAAAATAACATTCTCTATATAATAACTTTATGATTTCATATTTGAAGAAGTCATTTGGAGGACAAATCTGAAGGGCTACTTGGCCAGTTGCTCATAATGTTGCTCAAGCACCTCAAGAAAAGTGCCCCTTCTGCTTGAGCCCAATTTTTATCTTCATTCATCAATATTTAGAAATAAAAATGACTCTCTCTGTCATCAATTCCCCCAAATGGGTTTTGATATTTGGCGGGGCATTTACTTGAGTTCTTGTTAGAATTTGGCCCCAACATGCTGCGCGGCGCTCACAAGCCCCTCCCCCCTCAAAGCCTTGTCCAGCGGCCTACTGACGTTTGTCATGTTTGATGAAGAGAGGGAGAGAGAGATACAGACCGGCAGTTTTACTGTTCCACAAGCTTTATGGAGAGTATGTAAGTCACTCTTGATTGTTATGCGCAACATTGATTTCTCTTATTTACAAACATTTATTCACATAGATTTGCAGCATAATGCCAAGAAAAGAGAAGGACAGGGAACTGCAGCAGTGTAACCCTAAAGCCTAGTTTATGCTTCTGCGTTTTCAGAGAGACGCAAGGACACGCAGACCCAAGAGCCCCTTGCTGCCTTTTCACACCTCCTTGCGTGCTTGTGTGCGTCCACCCCGATTTTTCTAGGCTTGCGTCAAAAGCTACGCAAGCCTCCTGCAGCCCGCAAGGCTGCGATTGGTCTGCTAACTGCATCCTTTACGGAGTCTCACATCTCCGTTTTCATAGCACCATACCGCCAATATTAAAACAAAGAATGTTTAGAGAACCGATCAGATTTAAGAACTTTTGTCGGAAGAAATGCGTAAATATGACCACTCATTGGCAGACTATAAGGACGCGCGGATGGCCTCTGATTCAAACGTGGGTTTGCCGCTCTAGGGGAACAAAGTTGTGGAGGAAAATAGGAGACAAATGTGTCCGCGATGAAAAGCAGCAGTGGCGATGCACGGGGCAATAAAGTCTATGATAAATAAATAAACAAACCAACAACTTCCACACACAAAGACGTGACTCCAAAAACGTTACTCCACCTGTTGTTCTGGAGGTGAATTGCTCTGCAACACACGCAAGCCTTTAGAACCATGAATTGATACGAGTACGTCGACACAAATGTGACTTTAGTTGTCATTTCAGTTTTAGCTCAGCGGCGACGGCCAAAAAAAGACCAGAAACCCAGCAAATGTTCGGTTTCGGCCAATGTGAGCTTTCGCAAACCGCTTTAGGACACCTTTTAGCAGTGGCGGCTAGTCCATAGAGGGCAACGGGGCGTGGCCCCACCATGAGCGACATTTGACAAATAGTCAATACTTGTGTTTTTGTGCTTTTGAAATATGGATTATATACCCAGTAAAATTTCTAAATTAAGATATTTGTGCAAAATATATGCTTTTCCTGCACCTCCTCTCCGCTTGTTTCAGCTGGGTCGGGGCACGGTCCCAAAGCGGCGGGTCTAAGAAGCAGTTTGCCAATCACTGATAAAGTTAATGAGTGACATTATAATTTCAGCGTCCTAAAATACATTGAGTCTTTTGTGTGAATTTTGTGGGGCCTTTGAGTTTGTCTTTCCTCATTCCTCCTGTTTAGCCAACATACTAGGTTGATAGGTGCATCTCAATATATATATATATATATACTGTACATGTTCTAATAGATTTTATATAAATATATTTAGATTTTAATATATGTATAATTTTATATAATATATTTATGATATGATAGTTATAATAGTTATACCACAATATTGATTAAATATGTGCTCGTTTGCATACAGGTACTTAGCATAAATGTAACTATTTGATGAAGCCTGATTCAAAATTCATTTTTCCCTATGTTGAGTAAAGTGTTTTTTTTCCCCCCCAGAAGGTATTATGAGTATAACCTGGTAGCGCTCCATCATTTTTTTCAAAATGACAATGTTGTTAGAAATACAAAAGAAAATGTATAATTGAGGTAATGAATACTGCCAACCGACACTGCGGGTGAGTAGAGTAAAATATTTAAGGAAAACACATCGGCATGAATCTGGTTACACAAGACATGAACATCTCCCACAAACGTCGAGCACAATTACAGTTTAGTTGTATTGGGACATGATATTTCGGGACAGGGCTGCGTGAGGATGCTGTCGCATTCGTTATGCGAATGCATCCTCATGCAGAGAGCGATGACCTATTTCTCCAACAGGAAGTGAGCATCACTGGTTCCCTGCACTGCATAGGACTGTGGATTACTGTAGAAAATAAGTTCAAAAACACACGTTTGCAAGTTATGTTCAGCAGAATTGTCCTCACAACCAGCATTTTACCGTTTCTAAAGCAGTAAAAAAAGCTACGGTTAACCTATCTAACTCTGGAGCTCTTGTCCAGTGTGTTTGTTTAATTCCACCAAGTCACCATGTTTGTGTTTCCTCACACACACTCTGACTTGGACCTGTTACCAGGTAGTAATGGTTTCAGGTCCCCTAACCAGTTTCATCTAGTTTAACATTATTACAGAAGCTCTCCTCTGTGGAAAAACCTTCAGTTTATACTTACTCTGAATTATCCACAACAGATTTAAACAACTTGTCGAATTACAAACAATAACACAATAAGAGTTTTTAATTCCCATTGTTGTACACAGAGCGCATTACTCTGTGAAATCAGTGAACCAAAACGTCTGGATTTACTGGCACTTGTTAACATTCCTCAGTCTTCTGGAACCATAAATGTGGATGTAACGTGTGTGGTTATATGTATAAATCGCGGCAAAAGGACTCCTCTTCTCACTTGTCATTCCTCTCCGCTGGATCACCACTACTGCTTACCCCTGCTTACAATTCAAACAATTGCGAACAGCAGAGACCAATTACACCTCCACCTGGCACCGTTGAGCCACTCTGTCCCCTCTGCAGCCGAGCCAAACCACGGCCACCACCACCACCACATTTACATGACCTGTGCATACCGATAGAGAAAGAAACGAGCACAAAAACAAATTGAGGGCGTGTAAATCTTTGGATGCTTCGGGGTAAGAAGAAGGTGTGATATGGAATGACGCAGGAGTTCCAGCGTCACTGAGCAGAAGGTGAGATGGTTTTCAGACGAGTATGTTTCTGATCAATACATCCATATTCTATTCATTGGGCAGCTGGTTCAGAGATTTCTTCATATGACTATGACCGCCCGCCCCCCTTGAGAAGTCTAGTCTTGCTGACTAGACACATTTACTCTTAGGTCTGAAATATATAAAATGCTAACCAAAGAAATGTGTGGTTTTCTCTTTCATGTTATTCAAGAAGCAGTTCAGCGGTCAACATGAAGCGTTCCTCGGTGACCTGAGCAGAGCCATTCAAAACTTCACGGTAGATAGATAAAGTCACACAGGAAAGGTTTACCTTCAAGCTCGGAAGCTGAACTCATAAACTAGAAGTTTACTTCAGGGTTCTTTGCTTCAAAAGGTTCACTTCGACATCAAATAACATAAACCCGCAGACATCTCATCTAATGATGTAAGCATTAAACACATAGGAGATAGATAGCATCAGTACCTGTCGAACATGTGGGGGCTGGATCTGTGGCGCTAGGTTAACTGTAGCGCTAAAGGAGAGGAAGCCCTGCAGCTTAATCAGCAGCGCACTCAGCGGCTCAGGAGGATTTGCAAGCATCCGGAATGTTGTATTATTCACCAAACAGGTGTTGATCTGATAAATGAGGAGCCCAACATTGTTTGTTTTGTTCCTGGGTCCGCCAGCATCCCGCACCAGACAGGAATGAGTCATGAAGGAGAAATATGTGGCCCTGAGCCGATCCAGCGTCAGACAAGAGTGGAACTCCAGAGCCAGAAGAAATGTAGAGAACAAAAGCAGAGACCAAACACACAGGGCCTCGCTAACTCCATGCTGCCCTTATACAGTTCTGCTCTATAAGAAAGGGAAATATCATTATTAATTATCATTATTATCATTATTATCATTACTAAAGCTCTGCAAACCTGTGGTGAGGGAACTCAAGAAGTGGACCAGTGAGGCGCTGGAGGATCTTCGGGGTGCTTTGACTGCACAGACTGGGATGTTTTCAGGACTGCTACTGACAGTCTGGATGAGTTCACAGAGGCTGTAACTTCCTACATCGGCTTCTGTGAGGACAGCTGTGTACCATCATCCACCAGGGTGAGTTATAACAACGACAAACCCTGGTTCACAGCGGAACTCAGAACACTACGCCTGCAAAAGGATCAGGCATTTAGGAGTGGGGACAAAGACTTGTACACAGAGGCAAAATACAAGTTTAGCAAGGCGCTGAGAGATGCTAAACGACTGTACTCTGAGAAACTCTAACAACAGTTCTCAGCAAGTGACTCTGCTTCGGTTTGGAGAGGCCTCAAACACCTCACTATCTACAAGCCAAAAACCCCCCACTCCATGAATGACCTCCGCCTGGCAGACGAGCTGAATGAGTCGAAAGACAATGTCCTGATCCCATCCCCCACAGCTCCACCAACCTGCTGCAGTCCCCTACCCCTCCCTCCCCCAGCCCATCAGGTGCTCACGCCTCTTCATCTATATCACCTTCCCCTCCCCCACCAGCAACGACCCTCTCTATTCTGGAGAGAGACGTTAAGACAAAATCCCCGTAAGGCAGCCGGTCCGGACTCCGTCTCCTCTCACACCCTGAAGCATTGTGCTGACCAGCTGTCTCCGGTGTTCACTGACATCTTCAACACCTCCCTGGAGACATGCCACGTACCAGCCTGCTTCAAGGCCTCCACCATCATCCCTGTTCCCAAGAAGCCCAGGATCACAGGACTCAATGACTACAG